TTTTTTTTTAGTTTTGTAATTGTGTGTTCAGCGACGTACACTGCATATCCTAGTAATGGGAGGGCGTGGCTACATAGATGATTTTTCGCGAAATGTTTCCATTTCAGGTAAATACGCAGCTATCGCCATGTACGCAGCCACGCCCTCTCCATCTCCAGGATGGAGTGTCTCGCTAAAATTTTGGCGCTACTAGCTTCAATGGCTCACAGTCGAGTTCAGGTCGAACAAACTTCAAAGCCAGCATCCCTTAATCATCTACCTCCCAAGATGTCACCGCTGATCACCCGTTTGCTCAAAAGGGTGGGACGTTTCCAGTTGATCCCCTTGCTCTACGGATTAGTGCAGTGGATTTCCCTCGCGCGAGGCGCACTAACCGACTCAATCCTTCCACGAAGAAGAAATTGAGGAAATTAAAAATTTGACCATGTGGCTGGAGGTCCTTCTCGTTTGGCGCCCCGAAGGATAGATCTATTAACCACTGTGCTACCGGTCATCAGAAAATTATATGACGTTCCCGGACCACATAATCTTCGATTCCCTGGCAAGCGCCAGCTCGACCATCTGGCTGGGGGTCGTGGTCAGGCTCTTTTGGCGTCCGTTCGCGCCTGGCTGCTGTGCTCTGCGGACCAAGGACCTTTGCTGCATCTGAGTTAACTTCTGCACAAAAGACATTTGCTGTGGAGCTCGTTTTCGCCGAAAACTTTCCTGGAGCACGGAAATGATTTCCTGTTGGTTCCCCTGGGCAAGTTTTCGACAAATTTTCTGGTAACTAAGGAATGGAACTAAATATCTTAGCCACTCAAGTAATGGAGTGCTTTCAGATTATATAATGTAATCTGTGCTTCCTCAGTCTAAGGCACAGTAAGTGTTCAGTCTTGGAGAAACGGAAAGGAAATTCCTTGAAATCCTCCCAAAGACTGGGATGCCCTGAGATCCTCCGAAAACTGAGTAAATGGTGGCTTCCATCACGTTTGTGGAAAAGCCTATTCAACCCAGATTTTCACTTCGTTTTTTGTCGCCCGATCACGGTGCGTTGCCGGGATGGGTGAAGTGGCGGTACCTCAAATTTCTTTCTCGGCACGACCTCCTCCCCAACCAAATATCTTATCCGCTCGCACAAGCCTACTTGCCATTTTGCCAAGTTCTCCCAAATTTTGGCCACCGAGCGTAGGAGAAGGGATATAGGCACCTTCTCTCATGAGTTATGAGGAAAAAGCTTTGGCGCGGCGCCAACTAGGGGTTGGGGGAGGGTGGGTGAGCCTAACAATCGGAATGAGCATCTCGAGGCCGAACTTCTCTGTCTCCATTGCGATCAAATCAACGACCCTTCCTTCATGGAAATCGCACAGTGATGTGCACACTTCTGATGGCGACACAGAACGAACTAGAAATTTCCACAATTTCCCTGCCTTTGTGGCGTAAAATTTTAATGAGGGAATTAGTCCGTAGAAAGCAAAATCTAGCGGCATAGGAGCTCTACTAACTGCTGAATAGTCTGTCGCGATCACTTACTTTGTTAATGAAATTATTCTAATTTGCAGACTGTCGCATCTATACCGCTGTGGTTCGTCTCGTCGGTGATAGATCGCTTTGCGAACTCATGGGGAGTTCCCCTTCTTTCATCATTCTGTTCAGATCCCGCTTTCCTTGTGCCGTTTGTCAGTTCACAAGGTGAGCTTTTATTTCATGTCGAGAATACCGCTTCAGTGAGGCGTTCAACAAAAGCTATGAGTTGTCGCATAGATTCTCCCAAGTGCTATCTTAAACAGCTACTTATGTGTTACTACAGAGAGGCGGCAATAAATGCGGATCGGGCGCAATTCGGCGACAGGGGGAGGGAATTTTGTACTTTTTTGCTTTGTGTTACTACAGAGAGGCGGTAATGAATGCCGATCGGGCGCAATTCGGCGACGGTGGGGTGGGGGCATTTTGTACTTTCGTTGCATCACTTGTTCAAGGTTTACCAGTATTCTTTGAGGGTGAAACTGTTAACTTTAAGGCTGGAACAAGGCCATCGAGCCATCGGTAAAACCTGTCAACTCGAGAATGGGCTGTCTAGATAGATCGACACCTTGATGGGAAGTAAAAAACTGCAGAAATGCTCCCCCCCCCCGTCGGCCGAACATGCCTACGCTGCGCGAACCCCATAGAATAACTGCTCTTGAGTTCGAAAACTTTTCTTTTCAGTTGCAGCAAGCTCGCCGTCATCGTTACGAGTAGCGCCAATGTATCAGTTGAACAGCTTCCCGTCAGGGAATCGTCTTCTCTCGCTGTCTTCTCCATCATCCCACTCGAATTTGTCCAGCATTGGAGGTGTTGGGTGAGAACTCGAAATCTTTTCGGCCAATTTTTGAATTTTTTTCTTAGAAAATTGGAACGTTTCGGATCGATTCTTTTTCAATAAAGCGAGTGTTTTAGATTATGTGAGTCCACATCGCTTAGTGCACTTTGGTGTGCGCGAATATCAGCAGCTGTCTGTACTGCCGAAGGAAAGTGAGTTTACATAAGATTAAACCCCTGTGCATTTCAAATTCCGTGAAATCCCAAAAGTTGATGCACCCCCTGAGTCATTTGCAAACAATCAAATTTTTATAGCTGGATAGTTAATATTCATGGAAAATTACTTTCACAGCCTATCCTTCAAGTACAATATGTAGCTCAGGAGTAGCTCACTATTCAGGTCGTCCCTCCGTTTTGACCATCTGACGCTGTGCACCTTCAATGGCCACTCGTCGTCTGTTCGTCGAATCGCTAGTCTTTCGAATGAAAACTCCTTCATTTCCGCATCGTCTGATAAAACCGTAAAGTACGAGTTTTGTACAGCTTCTTTCTATCTCTTCAGTCGATGGGTGTTTTCCTTCAAACGCCAGAACTATTCAGAATTGGGTGCGGCCGATTAAACCCGAATATGACACCGTGGAAGCTCAATGGACTTACAACAGACATCAGCGTCCAATTCTTGACGTCACTCTATTGGCAAATAATCTTATCGCATCCACAGATGGGCATCTTCATGTAAGCAAATTGTTTCTTTTAGATTTCCCTACTTATCCTGCGTTCATACTTCACGATTTGAACGATTCAGTCGCGCGACTGCGACTCACGGCGCTCCACCGCTAATTGTTGGGCTGCTGCAACTGCTAGTTTGATCGCAGTCACTTTTCTTAAGCTTTGCAGTTGGCCCGGTGATTTGCGGGCGGAGCTCGATCAGCCCTCTACCGCGGAATCCGCTAACGCTCGCAGTCGCGGAGGATGAACGCGGCTCTAATCTAAGTAGTGGAGAAGACAGAAATTTTTTTTTCATTGGAAATTGCTGTTGAGCACGGGCAAAATCGAGTTTCCACAATCATCGATTAGCAGTGCTTAGTTATGGCTCAACTATCTACTGCATAGGCACATTCCGCGATAACGGGATGGGCTGGTTATTCTCAGCCACTGTGTGCTCTTCGCTGGAGCTCCCCTGCTCTCTAGCGCATTACAAAGTACTGCGTACCAACGACGACGGTGCAAGTTTATGAGTACCCGGCCACCCGATTATCGCGGAATGTACCCTCAATAGTTCTCTTTTCAAGCGTAATACGACTACAAATTGATATAAAATTGAAGGTGTGGGATCCATTCCGTGGCGCGATCATTACCCAACTAGATTGGGATGGCGATGCGACGATCTGTGGTCTCTCACATGTGGACAGGCATTCAATGGCGGCTATATCAAGTCTTCATTCAACAGTACGGTAGGTGCTACCTTACATTTTCTCAAGTGGTTCTAGGGCCAGATTGCGAAAGTTATTGGCTTTTGGTAACTCTGAATGAGTATTTCCAGCCTCATAGACACTCGAACTGGCAATTGGACAAGTGAGTTGAAGGTTTCGAATCTGCCTGGTTTAACGCGAGCATTTTCAGTGCGCGAGTCTGGTAAGCTTATTTAGTACTTGAGTTTCACTCACCCTTTTTGATGATCCATCAAATTTAAGGTCAAAAAATGGTAGTGGCATTATCGAACGGAACAATTGTGTTGCTTGACGCTCGTACAGGCCGACTAGCTTCACTCTTCCCACGGGAACAGCACTCACGCGACAGCGGTAAGGAGATTTCATTTTGCTAGTCCGAAACGACTTTATTGCGAACTATTGGTTTATGAATCGCTAAAAGAACAGAGAATAAACTGGCGTTGATCCAATATTTGTTGAAGCACCAGGTGGCCTTCACTTGATCGTTATGGGTGCTTTGTGAACGTCTATTCGGCCAATACAATGAAGTACTAGGGCCAGGCTAGCAAAAGACCGCAGTATCTGTATCTGTATCCTCTCATAATAGCCGAACGCTTGTGGAGGGAAGGGTTGGTGTGAACTGAGGGTCTGAATTTGAGCCTCTGGTTCGGCAAGACCATGATGGTTCGTCTGGGGTAAGAAACGAGACGGACCAAGCTATGTTTTTGGTAGGTGTTTTCTATCCAACATTTTGTTTTTCCTTTATTTCTAATTGACCTCGAGACCTACACTGAGGAAACGTCGTTTTGTGGAGAATTTATGCTAAATACGCCCCACCCAATTTGCTCCTCCAGTACGATCCCCTCCACAAGCGACCTGTCATCTTACCAAACTTTCTCAAAAATTCACTGTCGAGCGAGGAAGGGATAGCTATTTCCTCGACTGCCAGAAGTAGTAATGTTGCGGCAGCGTCATTTAGGGAGGGGGAGGGTCGTGAAACGGAAAATAAACAGCTAGAATTTTTTAAATTTTTCCCCCGGCAAAGTTTTCTCCACCTTCCCCTTCCCCCTAAGGCGGAGATGGTGTAGTGACAAGTGGCGCGCTCACCACTCGCGCGGTCCTGGTTTCGAAATCGTCAGTCGACACCCGCCCGGCAACAAAGTCATTCTACCCCCGGAGACAGGCGAGTTTGGTACCACAGATTCGTCTGGGAGGATAAAACACTGACTTGTACATCGGCTGGCCCCCGCAAGTCATTGTATAGGCCACATCGCATTCAATAAGCCACTACGATTCTGAATGGAAGTAGAATGCGTGCCGCATCCCACAAAGGGATTGATTAACGGCGAAGACTTTATCCTTTATCCCCCTCCCCCCGTTCCTTTTGCAACGAGTAAAGTGGGAGCTTCAACCTTCTGTTGGGAATCCCCAACATACGACGTGAAATTAGTGCGCTAGCAGCGTCACTTGACCAATATTGGCGCCAACCCCTTTTTTTTATCATCGAGCCTAGTTCGCGTTGAAGATTCCTGGTAAAAACGATTATGATTTTTTTTACCTCCCTACTCCATTTTCCGCTTTCTCTCCCTATTATACCGCACTGCAAAATATTCCAAAGTAGTACGCTACAGGCACGTGGGCTGGTGGGAAACGGGACGGTGGAGGGAGGGGAGTGGGGTGGGCATTCCACTGCAATGAGGAAACCTAGTCATTCACAACGATTCACCTCAACCTTCGAATTCAGCTTCTCCTACTCTCTACCCTACCTCCGATTACTCAAAAATCTCGCCGACCAGATTCGTCAACCACGGCATAACCTGTGTGCCCATCTCCCACCAGATCGGACATTTTGCTCTCTTAACCTTCGAAACTGCTCAGGTTCGATGGCTTTCCGCCTCGGAGTTCCTCGTGTGTGATGCTGACGAGGTCGGAAACGTCTATGCCGCGAATCCTCGAATCTCTTCCGTACGTAAACTCTCCGATGTGGTCGTGAGTGCATTTGTAAGTGACGACAAACTGGCCACACTTCAAGGAAACAACGTCATCAGGTTACCAGTTCTTCATTTCATAAGGAAATTGCCTCTTTGTTAAGTCTGTTTATTCAGGGTGTACTCCGGTGCTGAAGTTGTACTGGAAGCAAAAATGAAATCCGACGGTCAGTCTGGGAGCCCAGTTTCGATCTGCTATCTACCTCTTAACAACGCATATCTTATTGGATCTAATCAGGGTTCTATTCGCTTAATGTGCTAATAATCTGCTAATAATACTGTTTTTGTATATACGAGCTTTTTTTACATGTAACCCTGCCCCGTCGGAATCGACCTCTTTACAGTATACGGTTGTATGATATGATATGTGATAATTCTCTTAGCATTTCAACAAACGTCTTATATGTGATAAACCATTTCATTAGCATATCGAGTTTCTGGGAGGATTTCACTCGAAGGACACAGTCCGCGATAACTAGATGGGCGGAGACTCATGGACACTGCTTTTTTTTCTTAAAAAAAGCAGTTACTCCGTAAATCGTTTAGTCGATTCCTCGTAGAAAATGTAGTTTTCCGTATACAAAAGTGCAAGTAGAGGGAAAAATTGTATCATATGCGCACAGTTTTGTGAACAGTACCCATTTTAGACCTCCAATTGCCTCAATGAACCCTCTGAACTCACCATCAGTCAAGGACCCGAACAAACAGTTGGCTCTTAACTTTGACAGGTCAACAACTTAAAAATGAAAGATGAGCTGGTTCCCGTCGGTCGTTATATCGAGTCCAATGGGCATTAATCGCTCGGGCTAAAGCTTAATGCATGGTGTGTCCCATAGGAGTTTCCGAACTGCGTAAATACACCATCACAGACGATGCTCATAAAATATTTCCACAAACAAGGAAAATCGAGTCCCTGGTTGCTTCTGTTAGGGCGTTCAGATACTTTTCAATTGCAGCTGGTGCCCTGGATAATAGTGGTCACTTAACACCTTCACGTCTTTTAGGACCGAATCAGGCCCAAGCAGGGACATGTGTTGATCGTTCTCCAGCAGAGAGAGCGACGGGTCGTGTTCGGCTGAGAAAATTTTTTTATCATTCCTGTTGACTTGATGTTCTTTCTTTTGTTAGGGACTTGTGAAGGGGGGGGGAGTGGTTCGTATTTCCGCCTTCTGACTTTCTGAAGGAAGAATTCCTTGACTTGTTTGCTGTTTCATGTGCTACTGGATTTCCCCTCCCCCTCTGTCTCGATAGCAAATTTTAGGACTTAGGATTAGGACTTTAGGTCTAAAAGTAGGAAATTTTCGGAAAATTCCGGAAAAAAGTAGTAGGAAAGTTGGAGAAACTAAGAACTCGGTAAGACGAGGATGTCGTGTACCCCCAGGCGGTTTTTCTGACGTTCGCAACTGATTGCTAGCTATTCCTCTCCACCCTGCTGGTAGGTACAGCTCGAGAGGAGGGAGCGGAGGGGGCAGGGTGTACCACATCTTAAAATGGGGTCCCCAACCAATGATATGCCCTAGACCCAAAAGAAGCCTCCCCGGTTATCCTTGGCAGATCGATTATCCGTGGGAAGAAAGACCTTTCTGCTTCGAAATCAACGTAGCGAAATTAGCTTCATGTGACTTCTAATAGGTTGAAAGACCTCCTCCTATGGTACGCTTCAAACACATTGAGGGTGTATGAGACTATCAGCCCCCCAGCTGTCGATGTGTCGTGGTCCCCCCCCCCCCGCCCAAACATGCCCAGGAATGGAGATACAGGGCCGTGAAACACGCTAGTTCCTCCATGCTCCGCCTTACACCTTTTGCGGCGCAGATTCCCGTCCTTCATAACATCCGTTGCAAGCGCGCTAGGCGGCGTGCGCTCCTTGCACTTGCCAAAAGTCCTGTAATTGGTGCCTCAGAATACGAGTAAAACGCAATTTCCTGATGCGGACATAACATTGGAGGTGCTACAAAATAAGAACAGAAGATGATGACAAGGGCCAGAACTCAAGAGCAACTCGGCTGCATCCGCAGAATCCATCAGAGGCCGCGCATTCCCAGAAAAGCATAAAAACAATCCAAGCGTCCCACTCGTTTATTCTAAGTATTTCTATGGCTTTGGCGCCGGATTCGCGCCGGATCGTAGAAATTTACAGGCGATTTCAACTAATTTGCCTTTCCTTGATTTTTTTCATTTTTGTTTTATTTACATTTACATCGTGTGCTTCATTTCTAGCCTGTGTCATCTTCATCTCCTTGTACATGGATTTTGAAGTATGAGCAACACCTAAAATTTTATTCGCATCAGGAAATTGCGTTTTGCTTGTATCAAACTAACGAGTATGCCGTTTTATTTTCATGTTTCGTGGAAATACGCGGCCGAGGGATGTTGCAGAAGTGGCACAGTTGCTTTTAAGTTCTGACCCTCGTCATCATCTTCTGTTCTTATTTTGCAGCACCTCCAATGTTATCCGCATCAGAAATTGCGTTTTACTCGTATTTGAAGCGCAATTAAAGGACTTGGCAAAGTGCCAAGGAGCCGCACGCGACACGCGCGCTTGCAACGGATGTTATGAAGGACGGGAATCTGCGCCGCAAAAGGTGTAAGGCGGAGCATGGAAGAACTAGCGTGTTTCACGGTCCTGTATCTCCATTCCTGGGCATGTTTGGGCGGGGGGACCACGACACATCGACAGCTGAGGGGCTGATAGTCTCATACACCCTCAATGTGTGTGAGCCGTTACTAGTTCTTGGGTTGCAGAGTCATTTACGTGATCAGATCCAGTACTAGCTGACTGAGCTTACAGCGATTGAGTAATACAGGGGACAGGCAAATTTAGAGGAAGAAAAGTATGCTAGGGTCCTCGTAGCGCATAGCGCACATGCCTTATCTTCATGTTCTGGTCCGACAGTGCTTCGGGAACTACCGAGCGAACATGTGCGACCTTACAGCCTTAGAAGATGACAACTAGATGCCCTAAGGCTGACGGTCAGGCTGCGGCGCAATGCCCCAGTGACCTCATGCGAAGGCTAGCACACCCTGTACCCTCCAGTGATCAGCTGATTGTCGCTGCATTTAGTCTACTCAGTCAGTCAGTCATCTATACTCGTCTATTTGAGCTACTCAGTATTGCTCCCGTATCCCTTTCATCATGATGGAATATTCTAATGATGCCGATACGTGGTCTTGGTCATTTGTAGAGAATTCGATGTTCGAACTAGAGGAGAACATTAGCCGTCTGAAAGGCGATCGCAGTAGTTTTTACAGGGGTGAGTTATTAAAAGTTTTGTATTATGTCGTTATCATCAACGGCTCATTACTGTATGCATTCTTTCCACATACAAATTGTCTCTACAGGAAATAATTTTTGTTCACTTAAAAACTCACTTGCTCACGAGCTGGGCTGGGACGCCTCTGACTAACTATCACAGAAAGCAGTTTTGCGAACCGCCTGTGAACCCCAGCAGCAGGGGTCGTGTTTGG